TTATTCTTTGAAACAAATTAATTTATGCAATCGCAATGCCTTGATTTTAGTAAGGTTAGTACACAGTCATAGCCATATGCAATGGTACTAATTATTGGCATAATTTCTTTCGGTGTTTCGGTTTTCGGCCTTCGTTTCCTCTTTTTTGGTTTTCGGTTTCGGCCAAGAATTTTCATTTCGGTGCATCCCTAGTTTTAACGGTCCTTTTCCCCGCGCAGTGCTGTGATTGGCTGGTCCAGTTATGGCTCTCATCGGGCTCAGGACTGACTGTGTATGTCCCGGGGTAAATGGACCGTTTGAAACTAAAATATATTCTCCATGGTTCTGATGAAATGGAGATTTCAGCAAGAACACGACGATGGAAAACAGATTACAGAGAACATTCATTTAGTCAGTTTGAATGTCGTGAGTATTGTGGTATAGCCTATAAACACTTGCTTTGTTGCATAAGTAACGGTTATAAGGCGCTATTTTACACAAAGTCTTGTTGGCGTAATTTGTCATTATACCTATAACTTCCTCCCTAAATATTAGTAAAACAATTTTGTCGTCATTATCAAAAAAACTCAAAAACACCTGTCATATTTTACTGTTGTCTACATATGAATTTTAGAACATTGTCATAAATAACGATATTGCGACAAACTCTAAAAATATTGGGATATAACATTTGGGGCGTATCATGCAGGCTTAGTCAAATCCATTCCCTGGAACTAACAATGAGCCACTCAGAGAAAAGACGTACCGTCGGCTTTTTCTAGTGTAACTCTGTGTTGCCAACGTGGATGGGCTGGCTGGCAGGCAAATCTCTACAGTTTTATTACCTTGTAAATAATTTGTAGAGATTGTACACTACCCCAACACTTATGATGTAGCTAATTTTAGGTTTATAATGGAATAATATAGATTTGCCGTAAGATTAATTGCATGAACGTTGAGTCAGAAAGCGTGTGTCACGCCGTATGCGTGAGAATTGGCGACCTCGGTAACGCCAAGTTTTTCATACGATCTGTTTACTAAAATTAGATTTCAGTTGGTAGTTTATTCAATTTGTCACATTATTAATTTCTTGCGGAAATTGTTTGAGGGTAATTCTAAGGGAATTTTAAGCAAAAATGAAGTATTGAAATAAATAATTATGTTGTGATAATTGTAATATTGTTTTATACAGAAAATATATCATGGTAAAATGTTTTGCCATATCACCCAGCCGTACCCCCAACAACCCCACTTCAAAACATCCAAAGTATCCCTGATTTAGAATGGCTGACTGGCTTAAAAAATCTCCCCAATGCAGTAAAAACGTTTTGTTTAATGTTAATATTGCATTACCTGGTTCTTGAAATGTGTTTTTAACTTTAGTCCAGCATGACTGCTTGCTCATGATTTAATGTAGATATTATGGACATTGTTATATTTCTTGCTGCATTTTGTGAATGTCCAATTATTTGTTTTGTTCCACAGATGCTGTTGTACACCACCATCCATGACACGACAATGTTGCGGACAGGAAATAGGAGCCCAGTGAACACAATTTGGATTAAGGTCCTCTTCGTTCATATGTCTGAAAGTTCATAAGTTGAACGTTCGTAAGTAGAGGAGCGTCTGTACCGTATTGTATAACTTACACATAGATTTATTGATTTATTTTCCATTAGTCTGGTAATATATGATAGTTATACGTTTTTTTTTCACTATGTACACATATTGCACATACAGGCTCCCATATAAATATGATTATGTATAGTACATAGAAATCACACACACACACACATATATATATATATATATGCATGCATGAATATAAAAGTGTGCGGTGTGGACAGATTGTGCTATATTATGTCACATATCTGCATAATATGAAGTGTATTATAAAATGAGATACATTAATATAGCGTGTATGAAACCAAGCAATTCCTTATTTATTCTGCAACATATTGTAATATTTTTATAATATATTTTGCAATATTTTCACAGAAAATACTGTAATGTCCATAGCTGGAACATGCTAAAAGATGAAAACCCTCTGCCTGCTGTTCATGAACTGGTTCAGTAGGCAAAATGGCTTTTTTATATTGGCATGTGCAATTCTGACCACCAGAGGGGAGTAAGTGCTTATTTCTTTCTTTCTTTACTAAGCTTCCCTTTAATGTGTGGATAGCAAATTCCATACTACAGCCAAATAGGCTTCTGCACATGTTATTTAAGAAGCCTAGCCTGTATATTCTGTATGAGTTTGTTCTGTGGGTGTTCATGTGCAGTATTCAATGATCTATGATGTGGAAAATGCTGAGGTCCTGAGCTTCTTTTCTCCACACATGGTGCAGTTTTCATTGTGCACATGGTGGAGTGTGTAACACTGAAGATGGCTCGTTACCTAGGAAATTTATGCCTCCATGAGGACTCTTTGCTCATCTTGTCCAAAACATTTGTACAGTGACAGAGACTCAGTGTCACAGTTAGCTTCTGAGATATGATATCGAATGCTTCCGGAAAGTCAGGGAGACTGCTTCAGCTGGAAAATAGTAATTACAAAGTGTTCAAGTGGTTAAGTCAGAGCAAGAGATAAGAAATGGCTGGGCCCTAGGGCAGAGCTTGGTCAGGGGCCAGGGCTGGGCCAGGAGTAAACCTGAGCCTGGCAGCAGACCTTGGCCCCACTGGCCCCTAGGTAGTACATCGCTGCTTTGTCACTGCCCCCATGTCGCTCTCGGAGAAAGCCATAGAAAACTTCCTCTTTTCTGCCCTAGTGGTTCCTAGTTTGGATTGGGACAATGTTGTTGAGGTACTAGGAGGCCCTAGAGGGACAAGAAGGCAGGAAGATCAGAGGAGAAGGGAAATCAGAATCCAGACCCCACACCTCAGACTATGCGAAGCAGCCCTTTGGCCATCCTCTCTGGCCCTGACACAGTTTCTCCATTCCTACCTTCCAGGAGGTTCTGTAGGTTCTTCGAGACTTCCACCAGGAAGTGTCTGGGTTCAAAGTTTGCCTGACTCAGGAGAGGGGACTCCCTGCTGATGTTGCTCTCTGATCTAAGGAGGATGACAGACCTTCAACTGAGCAAAACGACTTAAAGACTTTGGCCGTCAAAATATGCCCCTCATTAATATTTTAGGTGCCCTACTAATCTGCTTATCAAATTGTGGATATAGGTAAAAATCCGTACGGTACTGAAAAGCCAGTGTCCGGGCAAATGTTTTACCTATTATCTAAAGCCCTGGTGATTGTTGTGCATGCACCATAGAACTGCTATTAAATTGTAATGTGATATCATGTAGCCCTACAATGACACATTTTACTCTATCATGAAAGCAACATTAAGATGTTCAAAGTAACTTACCTATTCAGCCACACTTTGAATGATGCAGTGTCCTAAAGAAATTA